GCAACAGCAGCAATTGACACCAGATGGTCGATTCCCCTGTCGATTTTCAGGATGCGACAAATCCTTTAAATACAATGGCATGAGTCGAAAGAAACATGAGGCATCACATAACCCTCCTGTAATAGCAGAAGAACCTGCAATCTCTGTAAGCCCATGCAAACCACCACCTCCATCTGGAGAATCAAAAGAACCAGATGATGCATACAACTACAACTGTGCTCTTCTTGCTGATAGTTATTTGTTTTTCAATTTCCTTGATGCCATCAAAGAGGGTGATGGGGCACGGCTAATGAGACAGTACAAGTATTTTATGCTTTTTTGCAAAGCAGACGGATGCCATAGCACGAAATATGCGCTAGAATGCCTTTATCAGTTCTTTCTCATCCATGGAGAGTTGTCACAGAGAGACAGTGAGCGATTCATTTGGAACAGGTCAATCAACAATCATGGAAAGAAAGGTTACAACATCCCACTCGATGAAGCAACTGAGCATAGTAATAACTTTGTAAAGCAAGGTATTAAAAATCTTGGCCCAAACATCAGCGAGGCAGCTGTTGCACGCATATGCAAATGTGAAAGCGCTACAAGATCAATTCTTGACAATTTGGATGAGTCCATATCACGACATAAGCATAGCGGTAAACACTCCAAGCAATCTTCTTCCATGGATCTACAAGAATTGGTAACAAAGGCATCCAACTTTAATATATTTAAAGAACAACCAGGCAGAAAGTATCATCATTTTAAAAACTTTCAGGTTGATCGCCTGAGTGATCTTGATTCAACTGACTTGTATAGTTGGATCAGCAAACACAAAAAGAATGTTGCTCTTGGTGTAAAGGCGAGGTGACTCTTATAAAGCATTATTTCTCTGTTACGCCTGTTTGGTAAGGTTTCTTTCTAACCAACTAATAGTATATATAACTGGGCCGCCGAGATCTTTTAGGGGGGGGGGGGCCCAGGGCAAATTTGTTTCAGGGGCCACCTCATTCTCATACCAAGAGCCCTTCTTATGCCCGGTCAACAGAGCGTGGCGAGGGGCTCTGGCCAAATCCATATCAAACTGACATCTGATTGGCTACAACGAAGGTTATTGTTCTAATACTGGATATATTCTTTTACCATGTTTTCATGGTATCCGGTTTTGGATTTGGCCAGAGCCCCTCGTCGCGCTGCGCGTAAGAAGGGCTCTGGGTACGAGAATGGGCCACCTATTCCAAACGTTTTAATTGCTCTTGTGGCACTTTCCACAACCTTTTCCATACCAAATTTCAGTACTTTGCCTGAAAACACTGTATTTCGTCTGAAAAACAAATATTTCGCCCGAAAAAAATTACTGGAGCTCCATAAAAAATAACTTGGGGCCCCCACAGATGGGGGCCCGGGTAAATTCTGCCCCCTCTCTCGGAGGGCCTGAGTATATAGCAGGCTTATTATGTGAGAAGAACCGGGGTTTTTTAGAAAGACTTTCAAATTTGAACTGTTATTATATATTAATTATATAACTTGTTTTGAAATTGATTGAGATAACATACATGTATTAGCTAAACATGCATGTATATAACTAGAGCAGACTGTATACACATAGTATTTCCAGGAACTGTAAATATGCTCAGTTGATGTAAACACATTTCTAAGAATAGTGTGCATGAAATAAATAAAGTTAGGATGTAATATATGAACAACAAGAGCGAGTGTTTCACCGGGATATCCAAACATGAGAAAACAATGTATGAGAACACGAGCGCAAAGCACGAGTGTTTTCATACATTGTTTTCGAGTGTTTGGGTATCCCGGTGAGACACGAGCTCGAGTTGTTTATATGGCTTCTCAAATGAATCGAGACGTAACAGAATGTTTTCGTTTGCTGATTTGAATAGAATTCTTAACCAAGCATAACGTA